CTCCCTTATTCCCTCCTCTACCCTACTTCCTCCTATCCACCAACCCCCCCCCCTCCCAATCCTCAAACCGCCTCTCTCAGTTTCTCTTTTAGTTTCTTTCCTCTGTCTTCTTTATCTCTCCCCCCTTTCCCTGAGGCGATTCTTCTGTCCATCCTCCAATTAGGGACATAATTGGCTGGGCCGTGTCTAATTGCGACCCAGTATGGGTTTGCCATGGTGTACATTCCTGGCTTTGGCCGAGCGCTCAGATAAGAGACAGATAGCAAGGGTTCGAAACCTAACGCTTGTGATTAGCTGGTTTATTGGTTTGTGATAGGAGGTGGTTTTGTTGTCTTCTTGTGAGTGTGTATTGCAGTTAGTATGTCTTTTCTTTGCCGGTGTGTATACGTATGTGTGTCTGTGTTATTGTGTGTCTGTTTGTTTATATGTATGTATGCGTGAATATGTGTTTGAAAGATTCAGATAGACAGACAGACAGTCAAACAAACAGACACAGTGGGTGTATGTGTAAAATCAAGCAGTTGTGTTTGTATTTGGTATTATTGTATGCGTGCATAATAGTTATCTGTTTTAGAATGTGGCCAACAAACATTTTAAAAATATCAAAAAAAGATTTTAAAAAGGAAACAAAAAATAAACAAACAAAAAATATAGACTTCTAGATCTACATATTATAGTACGTTTTTTAGCCTTCACATTCAAATGTACTCGTATTAATGTAAAAGTTTTTTGTTTTTTTTAAACAACAACCCAGAAACATTTGAAAAGAGATCTCTCTCCGCCCCCCCCCCCCCCCCCCAAAAAAAAAAAAAAAAAAAAAAAAAAAAAAAAAAAAAGTTAAAGTTAAAAAAAACAACACGAAGCAAACCAAAAAGCGCTCAGATGTATAAACACTTCTTCAAATAATCTTCCGTTTGTCCAAACAGGCTCAAAAGTCAAATTCATCATCTTTGCTTTACACGCCAAAATAAACCTCTGGCTGTTGTTGAAAGGCTTACTCTATGAACCCACGCTGATCTTACTTGTTTATTTTACTCACACATGTGTGCGTGCACATCAATGCGTGACGTCACAGGAGCGTGCGGAAACACGATCGCTCTTGTACACGAAATAAGTTGAGCTGTATGAATGTAAGGCCGCACTATGCAGAAAATGTTTTAGAAATGGGTTAGGGTGTTTGGTGGAGGAGGGGTGGGTATGGGTTGTTGGTTTTTGTTGTTGCTGTTGTTTGTTGGTTTGGTTTTGGGGTTTTTTTTGGTTTTTGTTTGTTTTGTTTGTTTTTGTTTTTGTTTTTTGTTGTTTTTTTTGGGTAGTTTTTTTTTGGTTTTTTTTTTGGGGGGGGGGGGGCAGGGGGAAGTGAAGGTTGTTTTAAATTTTAGCAAGAGTTTTACGGCAATTGAAACACAATAAGATTACGTAATTG